CAATTTAAAAATGTTCACCTCATTACTGTTCAAAAGTTTGAAGTCAGTGAGATTTTAAAAATTAGTATTAAACTATTTAATTATTATTATATTATTATAATTATTCGGCAAGGATGCATTAAATTGAAGCCATGTGACAAACAGTATCTATTTGGCATTAATCATTTAGTCATTAGAGCAAGATTTTCAGTGAACAATGACTTAAATATCACGCAAGTTACATTTATGATGCTTTATCAGTCTTTTTAAAGTTTGACAGCTCTTATGCTTTCATTTTATGGAAAAGCGCTGCTTGTACATTCTGCCTAACATCTGTTTTTATGCTCCACAGATGAAAGAATGTGACACGGGTTTGCAACACGCAAGTAAACAATGACAGAATTTTCATTTCTGGGTGACCTATCCCTTTAAGATCACACCAAGCCAGTCCACCTGATCGGATGGATGTTAAACAAATAAAAAGTAAAAATAAATGTGCCCTGGTCAGTAGGGGATTCCCGTGTCCTCGGTCTTGACCCCCACCGAAACCCGTCACTAACCCATTCACTAACCAGGCAGGGTGACGCTCTGAACGAACCCCCCGTCGTCCCGCAGAGAGAGGGAACGCTGTGACTCTATAAATAGAGGCGAGGAATGGTGCTGATATGTTGAAGGAAGGAGGGGGGCATGGAAAAAGGATTAAGAGAGATATTCGGCTGGTGATCGGGCTGTTCTTGCAGCCTGTGTGTGGATCTCTGACTCAGAGATAGCAGGGCTGTCACATGGGAGTTTCGTGCGATCTTGATGACAGTACAATTGGCCTTGATGCGCTCGTTTGCGCTCCGTCTCTCCCTCTGTTTCCCTCTCTTCCTTTTGGCAGCGGTGCTGCGCCTTCCCCTGAGGATGGGAAGTGTGTTCATGATTGGAGGTAAAGGTGTGATGACTGTACGTCGTGCTCAGGTGCTTAATTCCTGACTGGAAACATTCTGACTTCCTTATTGGCTCATCGGATGCTCTTATCCAATCAGAATCTGGCCAAGTTCACTCCTTGGCAACTTAATGTTTTTGAGGGAAAGCTTTACAGGTAGTCTAGATCTAAATTGAACCTTTTGCTGCAATCACTCACGCAAACAGACACACGTTCGGCTGTATCTGTCAGTCAGCTAAGGTTTATTGGCATGACTGTAAACATTTACAATATTGATAAAGCATTTACAGGTCAGAGATCTCAATATGAACTGAATATAGACTGTAAAAATTGGAGTACATTTGACAAGAATATACTATTTGAGTATTTTAAATTTCACATTTAATTGAATGTGTTACTTGCCATTTTGTGTAATTATTTTATTGAGTAAATGTGTTTGTGTGTGACCCTGGACCACACAACCAGTCATAAGGGTCAATTTTTTTGAAATTGAGATTTATACATCATCTGAATAAATAAGCTTTCCGTTGATTTATGGTTTGTTAGGATGGCTGAAATACAACTATTTGAAAATCTGGAACCTGAGGGTGCAGAAAAATCTAAATATTGAGAAAATCGCCTTTAAAGTTGTCCAAATTAAGTCCTTAGCAATGCATATTACTAATCAAAAATGAAGTTTTGATATATTTATGGTAGGAAATTTACTAAATATCTTCATGGAACATGATCTTTACTTAATATCCTAATGATTTTTGTCATAAAAGAAAAATCTATAATTTTGTTACTTTTATTCATCAAGGATGCATCATAAAAGTAAAGACATTTATAATGTTTCAGAATTGTATTTTCAAATAAATGCTTTTTTTGTATTAAAAAATACAAATAAAAATAGGCAGCAAAAACAACATTTTCAACACTGATAATAATAAGAAATGTTTCCTGAGCAGCAAATCAACATAGAATGATTTCTGAAGAATCATGTGACACTGAGGACTGGAGTAATGATGCTGAAAATTCAGCTTCGATCACAGGAATAAATGATTCAAATATGTTCAAGTAGAACATCATTATTTTAAATTGTAATAATATTTCACAATATTACGGTTTTACTATATTTTTGATCAAATAAATGCTGCCTTGGTGAGCATAAGTGATTTCTTAAAAAAATTAAAAAGTACACAAAGTAGGAAAAGACAAAAAGTTAGGCCGACTTTCCTGCTTAACAGAATCAGTGAGTCGGGGAGCAGGTCTCAGGATTGACCGAGGTTAAAGAGCAACAATAGCATGTGAGACCCGGGGTCAAAAGAGCCACAGGAGTGATGAATGGCCAAGAAAATCACACTAGTTTGTGTGACTATGCAAGTTTGGGTCAAAAAAGAGTGGGAAGAAACAGAGCAAAACATTTCGTCATCATGTTTCATAGGACTTTTTTTTATGATATATTAAACTTTTATAATGCAAGGCTAAATCAATCAACGTTATTGTGGAAAAAGCATAGTGAAGAGTCCAGTAAATATTTCTCTGGGTGGGTTTCATTTCTGAAAGTCATTTTCATTTACCACATGATGCCATATTATATGGGGTAAGTTGTCACTTTAGGTTGGCAAAATGTAATACTGTATATCATGTAATAGATATTAATATGAAAGGTAACCTGCATATTGTTTAAGCCAACATAAATTGTAATTAATAAATTATATATAATTAGAACACTTGTGAAACTATGAAAATGTGTTTCCACCATGGGATTAAAAAAATAAATAAACAAAAAAGGTAAAAAAAAAAACTTTTTCTCACAATTCAGATTTTTTTCCCCCCGCAAATGCAAGTTTATGTCTCACAATTCAGTTTTTTTTTTTCAGAATTTAGTTTATATATTAAAACTTATTTTTATCCTGTGGCCTTCCAGTTAAAAAGTGTGCCTTTATTATTTTTCTTGTTGAATGTGATGGGAATGTAATTTTAGAAGACAGAATTCACAAAAAGAATCCCAATTTATGGCAGTTTTGAACTAGATGCACTGCTAGAGAAAACAAGCGTTTATGTAATTGAACTTCTGACTCAAAATTTCATAGCCTCTGTGACAACTAGCCCCAGTCCCCTCTTTAAAGATGCCATGGCTCTGTTAATCTTATTTATCTGTGTTATGGCTGATCTCTTTTGTGCCATTCCAGTACCTGCTTCATCATGTCCTAACCAGACAGTGCTTAAGCCGTCAGCAATGCAAAATAATAAAAGTTGCATATGAAAACAGGTGTACATCAGTCATTGTCACCCACTGTTCAGGTACTTTGCTGCGCAGTTCTCATGAGGTCCAGATTTGTAATAAATGCATCTTGTCTCATCATTCTGTTTTCAACCTCTTCTCAACCCCCTTTCAAACTAATTCCTTCCCCTCCCCCTCTCCCTCTTTCTCTTTATTCAAAGCCATTGATCATGCATGCAGAAATTTAGCACGCCCATAGCTCCAGTCGGGAGCACTGGGGCGCTGTCCTACATACTGCTTCTCCACACACACACACACACACACACATACATCCTGAGACCACAATCAAATACACAAGCATGCACACACACACACACACACACACACACAGGGCAACCGCGCTGACAAACTTGAGCTGTGATACATAAGCATGCAAATTTTTTACAAATTGTGGCATGCATTCCTACCTGTTCGGCCTACGAACTGCTCTCAAAACTTTTGGAGCATGAGTTTTATTTTGAATCTGATAATTCAGATTTTCACTTTGCCTCTGTTTTCTTGTCTTCCACTGAAATATCAGGTTTCATATATCTAAGTTGTACTTGCAGGTGCAATTCTGCTCTAGCTTTTGTGCTCTTATTGTGCTGATATTGTTGGCTTTTGTATGATAAATTGCTTTAGCTTTTCCTCAAGTTGCTTTGGATAACAATATGATTTAATATAGATGTCATAGAGATGCATGCTTTTTGCATACAGATGTCATTTTTTCTTGTGCTTTAATGACGTTAACAAATTGGGAAACATAAAATCCACATTTTATTTACTTATGAGATGCTTTGCGAAGCACATAGTTGTTCATTTTTAAATTATGTTTTAAAGTAAATGTGTTCAGAGACAGTAAATATATTTTGAAACGGGCTTTAATATTCCAAATTATTAGACTATTTTTCCAGCCTGCCCTCTGCATGTCAGTACTTATTTATTTTCAACAAATCACGAAATAACAAAACATTAAAATGACAAAAATACCACGTGAGATGCTGTTGTTTATGAGGAACAATGCACACCTTCCTGAGGACTACAAATGGTTGTGGTCAGTCTGTTGGCCCCACCCACTCATGCAAACCACCAATCACCTGGTCCTGACTTAATGCCAGTTCAGGCCTGCAGGAATCCAGACTACCAATCACCAAAACTCAGCCTGATGCTGTATGATATTGGATGCTGCTTGTTTGTAGACAGCGCTGGGTTGGTTTGGTTGGTGGTACACACAATAGACACAACAGTGTCTGTCTGTCTGTCTGTTTGTTTGTCTGTCTGTCTGTCTGTCTGTCCGTTTGTTTGTCTGTCTGTTCGTCCGTCCGTCCATCCGTCCGTCCGTCTGTCCGTTTGTCTGTCTGTCTGTCTGTCTGTCGGTCTGTCCGTTTGTTTGTCTGTCTGTGTGTCCATTTGTTTGTCTGTCTGTCTGTCTGTCTGTCTGTTTGTTTGTTTGTCTGTCTGTCTGTCCGTCCGTTCGTCCGTCTGTTTGTCTGTTTGTCTGTCTGTCCGTTTGTCTGTCTGTCTGTCTGTCTGTCTGTCTGTCTGTCTGTCTGTCTGTATGTCTGCCCGTTTGTTTGTTTGTTTGTCTGTCTGTCTGTCCGTTTGTTTGTCTGTCTGTCTGTCTGTCTGTCTGTCTGTCTGTCCGTTTGTTTGTTTGTCTGTTTGTCTGTCTGTCTGGCTGGCTGGCTGGCTTTCTCTTTCTTCAGACAGACCACGTTTCTGCTCCGCTACTGTACGACAGCAGATGAAAGCGGGCGGGGCCGGGGAGAAAGAGGGGCGGAGCAAACTACGAGGGTCCGGGAAAAAGTCAAACGGGAGGCGGTGCCTCAGTGTGTGCACAATCCACGCCTGGCCCGTCCTCCTCCAGACGGGCCCTCCCTCCCCCACCCCCTCGGGTCACCCGCTCTTGAGTTGGAGAGTCCTGGCTCCCGTTCGGCTCACAGTCCGGGCAACAGAGGAACACGGGAATGGACACAGAAGGGAGTCAGAGCAGCCTGTCGTCCTCCACGCAGGACTCCCCACACGACCCCTGGTAAAGCTTCCTCTCTGCGCGCTCCGCTCGGCTTTTCCTCGCGAACGGGAGATCTGTATATACATCTATTCATTTAAACCTGAGAGTTTTGGGACCAGGAGGAAAGAGACCACCGGAGACAAAAGACACAAGCGCGGGTTCCTTTACGAAAGAGCGAAAATGGAAACAATGTAACAGCCAGGAGCCTCACTGTTACATTGTTTCCATGTTCCCCCTTTCCAGGACGCGCGCTGTTACATTGTTTCCATCTGTTACAATTGGAAGTGTTACATTTTTCCAACACATTATGTTATTACATTCCATTTCGCTTTTTCAAACGGGGATGATCGAACTTGTTACTTTTTAACGGAGAGGAAAGAATCAGTTCTGCGTTCGGATTGGAAATAACGGCACCCATCCATCCATCATGGCCGAATTTCACTTTTCCACTTGATTTATTACGATTTTAGGGTGTTGATTACTGTATTTACACATGCACCAGTAATCAATCGCGTTTCAGAAGACTTTCAGATGTCTGACCTGACTCTCTTTTTCACCTTTCAGCAAAATGTTCGTCGGCGGGTTGAGCTGGCAGACGACACAAGGTGAGACACGCGTGATCTTCTGTCCTGCGTGCTACTTCCACAAAAAGTCTAATGCATGGGTTGCTGTGAGCTCGTAGGAGCATTTCTTCTTTCTATGATTGTTTGGTTAGAAACAGAAAGCAAATAGTTTCCGTGAATTCAAAGCACGAGCCTAATGCGTTATAGCTATATCGTTTACATAGGTGAATATTTATAGATCAATGGGCTGTTTTATCTTAAAACTTCTCTTGCAATACTTCCTCGAAAACTCCAGACGATATATATATATATAGTGAGCTGGTGGTGATTTGAGGTGAAAGCAAGGGCGCTATTGAGGAAGCACTGATGTGGTTGAATAAATGCAACATGCAGTGTGGAAAATCTCTGGTTGCATGCGCACTATGCATGCCTGTGTTGTTATTCAAATACTCAGCTTAGCTTAGAACATTATAATAAGAATGCTTACCAGAGCTTTATAATGAGCACTATTGTTGAGATGCAAAGTGGTCTCGGATGTGCAGTCTCAATGCTGATCTAGTAGCAGCAAGCTTTTTGTTGGAGGTACATCAAACATGATTTGCGTCACTAAACTGCTGTTATGAAATAAATGCATTGTGTTTTTCTTTCTCCAGAGGGGCTGAAGGAATACTTTTGTAAATTCGGCGAGGTGAAGGAGTGTATGGTGATGCGGGATCCGGTTACGAAGCGGTCGAGGTGAGGGGGAGGCGCGCGCACATCCGCTGCTGACTTGTTTGTTTGTGTGTTTGTAACTTAATTCTTATGCGTAATGTTATGCTGTTGCGCAGGGGGTTTGGATTTGTCACCTACGTAGACCAGACCGGTGTGGATAATGTTTTGGCCCAAAACAGACACGAGCTGGATTCAAAAACAGTGAGCTTTTTAATCGTTTTTTTATTATTCTGTATAGCAGTGATTTGTTTGTTTAACACATCATCGCATATAGTTGCACACAATCTAGAAAGAAGTAGTTCTGCATGCTCTATATGGGTCAGTATTTCATCACACCTGCATCAAGCTTATTCTTTGTTTTTGAAGCAGCTGCTTCATATTCTGCAGTTCTTAAGCACTTCGATCGGATGAATGCTTCTCGATGGTTTTCGTTTCCTAAGATCATTTTAACTCCACATGCACGAGGCGCGAGGTCCGTTCCAGCAGGTCTGCCACATGAAAGCGTTCTTTCGCGCTTTTCATCGTCATAGCAACCAGGGGAGCGAAACGGGGCAGAATCAAACTTTTCCAAATCTTCTAGGATTCGATCAACACTCCAAAAGCCTTGTGTAGATGCGTGCATATAAAGTTAGTTTTATTATTATTATTATTACAAAAATATATACCATGATTATGCTAATGCAATGGTATTCTTTGAAGTAGCATGCAGTACCAATTCACTATGTTTTCAAAATATCTCAGTATCACCATTACTAAACCAAAGACTTAGAGTCTTGTTTTTGTTTTAGATAATGTACTGCAGTCACATTTGAGACTTGTATTTAAGTGTGTTTCTAGTATTATTATTAATATGCATTAAAATGGTTTAGATATTCATCACAATCTAATAATTTGCATCATGTTTCTCAACTGGTTTTGCCTCGGAAGCCAGATTAAACCAGCTGCATAGATCAAGCAATATGCAAAATTATTAACATGACATTGGCTGAATAGGAAAATTGACCATGCATAATGCATAACCAACAGCTGAAGTGATTTACCAGCCAAACACATTAATATACAAATATACAAAATAAATGTTATATTAGCCATAGTGATGGTGAATTTGTAGTACTGTAAAGATTGATCGGACGCACAGCCTTTGACGTCAACAACAAAACATCACAAAATAGCTTTTTTGCTGTTATGACTATGCATGCTTGTATGCTTTAATTTTGTTATATTAGTTTTGCCTGATGTCTGTGATCCCCGATCAGAACAGATGTGTAACTCACCAGTTGAGAACCACCAATGTAAATGGCATGGAATAGTTTGAATATATGCTAATATATGTTTCAGAATACTTTAGCATTAATATGGCACAATTACCAAACCGTGGGGATTTTAATGGAAATGAAAGCGGCCTGTAAATCTATGAAACCTAATACATGTTGAGCTCCAGAACTTTTTGTCCAGTTTTGACCGCATTGCACAGAGTAGCGTGCTTGCTACTAGCTGTATTTGAATAAGTGCCCTGGTTGTGTTTGAATATGTGAGTCCTGGGACGTCACTGATGGTCCTTTGTCAGATCTGTGTGGGTGTGTCAGCAGACAAAACCAGAGCTTTACTACAGAGATGCCACAGACCCCTTAAAAGATGCGTGTGTTTGTGTATTTGTTTGTTGTAAAATTTGGGCTGTGTCGTGGCCTGTTCCCAGTCCTTTCACATTAAAGAATGAGGCTAGCCGAATCATGTTTATACGCATGTTTTTGCAAGAGTATTTACAACTATTGATGGTGACTTAAACACTACTGCTGCGTGGAGAGACTCAGCCTGGCAACACTTCAGTCTCTTGGGTTCGGTCGCCATGTGGGACTATCATCACCATGACAACATTGTTGGTTATATCCGAAAGTGTCACACACTCTTAAACACGCCCATTAACCGCTGTGACCCTCTATAACACTTGATGGTGTAGATGTGTAGAATAGTGCATGTGTACAATCTCTTTATTTTCTGTTTTGAAAAATCTATAGCATCAGTGTTGCATAATTCGTAGTTTGAAATGATTATGCAATTCAAGAAAAAGTCTAAAGTATTTTTCACTTTAATTCATGACGAAGAAGGCATGTATAAAGACAAGGTTTATTTTTAACAGTCGAGAGAAATTCTAGAATATAATACTTTGTGGCTTCAAGTCAACGTTTGCATGCAATCTGTTTTATTTTCGTAATGTGATGTATTAATTAGTGAATCTTATTAAAATTAGGGCCAGAATTGATCCTTTAGGAAATTGATGTTATTGAAAAAGTGGTTAGAAATGATAACTAGAAAAAGTTAGTTTTTTTCTTCAATAACGTGTCTACACTGTAAAAAAATAAAAAATAAATCTGTAGTTTTTACAAAATAATTTTGGCAGCTGTGCTTGCCAGAATAATTTTGTAAAAAATACAGTAAAATTGTAAAAAAATTTACAGAACAAGCTGTAAATTCTACAGTATAAAACTGTAATGTACAAACAAGAAACAATTCAACAATGGACACTGCTACTAAAATCTGTTTTGTATCTTTAACATAAATTGACAACCGGTAAAATAGAAAGGTGGTAAAAGAGACAGCAATATGAAGAATCTGTTCATCACAAGTAGCTTTTCCACAATCTGAAGTATATTCTAATATATAGAAGGAGTCATTCACACAAACACTAAACACCATCATGGTAACACATGACACTTAAATAATTCAATAAACATTCATTAAACAACAGAAGATGTACATAACTGATAACAAACATGACAAAACTATTAAGAAACATGATTACTTAAACAAAATACTTTCAAATGTGGAGTGTCATGCAGGGAATTCTGGGAATATCAGTTTACAGTTTTTTACTGTAAATTATATGTTGATTTGTTTTTTTTTTTACTTCTAATAATTGTACAGTTAACAGCATTTTACTGTAAAATTACATAAAATATCTGGTTTACCTGTATATAGTACAGGAACTTACTGTTAACCTATCAACATTTTGTTTTTACAGTATTTTACAGTTAAAATTACACTCATTTTTTTATAGTGTATTAAGTAAATATAATACTAATTTATGTCTAAGGTCTCGTGAATTGTGCTGGTGTTCGTATTAGACAACAACTACATTACATTACTATCCAAACTTACATTACTGTTCAAAAGTTTGGGGTCAGTTTGATATTTTTTTTATATATATAAATTGAAACGTTTGTTTGGTAAAGATGCATTCAATTATCAAAAGTGACAGTAAAGACATTTTAAATGGTTCAAAAGTTATTTGTTTCAAATAAATGCTGCTGTTTTGAACTTTCGGGTTTGAAGCATGAAATGAAGCGTTTTCAACATTGATGATAATAAGGAATGTTTTCTAAACAGCAAATCAGCATATTAGAATGATTTCTGAAGGATCATGTGACACTGAAGACTGGAGTAATGATGCTGAAAATTCAGCTTTGATCATTGGAATAAAATAGTTATTTGAAATTTTAATAATATTTCACAATATAAAAACATGTTGATTCTGATAGCTGTGATGTAAATCTCCATTACAGGTAGCCTATACAGCAAAGCTCTGTTTTCTGTGCTGCGATGCAAAGGCTAATCAGTGTGTTAATTGTGTATTGATGGGTTTGAATGGCCTTTTCGTATGGTATTTGAGGCTCTGTTGTGTTAATGTTTTGGTGGGGTTGCTGAGGGTTATTAGGTCACTCCAGTGGGGTCTGAAATGCTGCGTGGGGAGGGATTCGCAAAAACAGGAAGCAATTTTGATAGATAAGACTATTGTGCTCCTCGTCCACTTCAGCTGCATTTTGAGATTCCAGCAGAACTGCAGAGGAATCGTCAACAGTCTGCAACGCAGATGGCAGTATGTGCTGTTTTATTTGATATTTGATGTGGTACTGTAAAGTTTTGCATGTAACAGTAAAGTGTTTACATGCCGTCCACATTTTCAGTCCTTCTGTAGTCTTTTCTGGGTGTTTGCCTATTCTTTGCATTTGCCATCCATGCGAGGAGCTGAAAAGAAGATATTGTGAAAGGGTCCGTGTTGAAAACAGAAAGAATGTGCCATGCTGAGAGTGTTTTTTCATGCTATCGGTCCTCAGAAAAACGAGAACCAGAAGATAGGCTGGTAGAGGGGTGTCTGAGCTCTGGAAACGAGAGGTCATATTGTCAAATCTCATAAAAATAAGGTTAAATTACAAAACACATGACAGAATGTGCCTTTGCCGTGTGCAAACTATGTGAGAGTTTTATTTGTGTGTTTTAAAAAAAACTGAGCTGTATCATAACCCTGTAAAGACTGACATATGCATAACAGTCAAGAGAAATGGAATGGAATTGAAATGGAACAGTTTTTTTTACTTTTAGACAAAATCTTTAAAAAAAAAAAATCTAAAAAAGGTTTGCATATGTGGTTTTTGTTGAGTATCATATTTGATACATCAGGCTTTTATGCCTCATATAGCATGATATAGTGAGAATATAAGGGGAATAAAACACCTGAATTTATTCTAAGGCCCAAACTGAGCAAAAATATGCAATTTGGTGCAGTTACTAATATTTATATGGCCAGAAAGCAAGTTAAGATTCAGCTTTTAATGTAAATCAATGAGATCTTTATAACAGTGTAACAGACTACTGACATAAAATCTCCCAATAATGTCTTAATAAGGTAATATTTAAAAGCTTTATGATCAAAGCTCTGTAGTTTCTAAACATATAATGCAATGCAATACAATGATGATTGAGAGATGACCAAATAAATGTTCCTCAAATGTCTGATGATCATATTTGATCCTCACATTTCAACACGATTTTTCTAAAAATGATCTATGAATAATCAAGTAAAACAAAGTTGCTTCAGTCCAGTAAGTGTTAAAGTCCCCATGAAATCAAAATGAAAGTTTTTTGGGTGTTAGTATCAATATGTTAGTCTTAAGGTTATCTATAAGGCAGTGTGCTCCAAAACAGTGACAAAATTCACATTTAGAAGATATAAGCATTCAAAGCTTTCAGTTCGTCACTTCCGCCAAAATGGCTCAATGATTTTTTTTGATGTCACATCGTACTTCAGCTTCTCATCAAACTTTCTGTCCAATCACATGCTCTCTTGAATCTGAAGCGCCCGCCCCCTTCTCTAACGGAGGGAAGACAGGAAGTGTGCGGATCCATCTGCAAGGCTTTATTCGCAA